ATTTGCCTTTGGGAGTCTCTTCCCAATCCCCAGCTGTGAGCCCTGGGTTCTTCCCTGATACAAGGGGATTCCTCACTTGCACTCTGGACTAAATGATCTCTTAAGGTCCCTTCCAGCCTCACTTCTCTATGCAATTGCCAACTCTTTGCAGAACTGGATGCTCTCAGTAACTACAGAGATGTCTAAGCCTGTCCTGGATCCCTCTGGGTCTCTGGCCTGACCACTACCTAGTGTCCCAGGCAGTGAGGCTTCACAGCTGACTGTCCTTGGCAAGCTTTTCATTTCATTGCTGTGAAGTTTCCCCAGTGTTCAGCCTCCCCTTCCTTCCTTTATTCTCATCTCCAAAGTCCTGTGTCACTCCCTGGTGGGGCTCCCCTTCTGACATGTACCTCATCCTCATGAACCATCCAAGTCAGCAGCAGTAGAGACTTACTCCCTTTTAGCTCTTCCCCATGACTGATCTGGTACCTCCTGCCTGACTACTCTCATCTCTCTGAACCTGTCTGCCTGCTAATGGGAAGTCCAGAGAAGAGCACTATATTGTAGGTGCACAGATAGGCACACAACTGGCTCTCTGCCCTGTGATGGACTGGCTTTCTGGCTGCTCCTGCCATATTGCCCAAAAGATCTTATTCATGGTCACCTCATGTGGGGAGAGCTGCCCAGCACCGCTGCCTCATCTGCTTGTAGGATCTGCCTGTCCCTTGTTCTCTTGCTGGATTTCCTCACCTTGGTCTATGTTGACTGTTGTTTATTTCTGCTTCTGCCTCTCCAGGCCTTTCCCAGAGTTGTGCTGGGTTTTGGGCATTTCTCACTGAGTGACTGACTTTTGTGGTCTTGCTCTTTCCTCCTCCCAATGTCTAGCTCCTGCTGTCAGAGAGTGAGCACTTAGTTATGAGTCAGTACCTCCGGGCACTCATGCAGAAGAAGTTGGTGTGCAAGAGTGAGGAGGAGAGGAGCCAGTTCTCTCATCGGCTGCTCCAGGACGCTACACAGCTTGGGGACCTGTTCCACTCACTGGTGAGGGAGGTAGCTCCCCTGCCCAGTCATATCCTCAGCAAACTAGTCAGCAATATGGGTTGGCATCTCAAGGGGGAAGACAGGGCTGCTGGGTAGATGCATGGGACAGCTTTAGCCAAAGGGAATGGATAGGGGGTCACTTCTGTCATTCCTGCAGTTAGATTGGCCTCACCATGTAAGGAGGGAGGGGAGAAGGGAATGCCTGGAGAATGGGGCAGTTGCATCTACCAGCTTCTTGAATGGGCCACTGTAAGGAACATGCCCCAGATCAGCATTGGAGCAGATGATTGAATGCTGTCCAGGCTGGGAGCCCCAGCGAGTGACACTCTAGTGTATGTGCACTGTCCATCCACCCAAGATTCTCCTCTGGCCCTCCTCACCATAGCAGCTCCCTATCTTCAGAGCGTTTGTGGGAGGTGGGTGGCACTGTGGTACCCATTGCACCAATTAGGCTGATTCTCCTGCTTCGTCTGGCCTGCTCTGGCCTAACCTATCTTGTGCTATCTGGTTCCTTTTTGCAGGGCCTGGACAAGAGTGAACAGACCATTGAGGTGATAGTTGCGCTCCAGGAACTCATCCGCCTCAAGGACCCAGCATTGCTCAGTCTGGAGGTCTTGGGCTTTGTGACAAAATACCCTGACATCAGGTAGCAAATGTAATGACTGCATGGATGCCAAGGGACCAGGCTCAGTGCAGTACAGAGGGAGAGGCCAGGGGACTGTCCCACCCTGTCAAAGGGGAACTGCTATCACTCTGGTCTTTACATGGGCTGTCTGCAGTGAGTCAGATTTCCCTACCCCCTGGATTGTTGGGAGTTTAGAAGGCTTCCCTATCTCAGACAGATTCAAACAATGTGTGTATGGAGAGCCATGGGGACAGCTCTCAGAGGTAGCTCTTAGCTTCTCATCCTAGGCTCAGTCATGGGCAGGAGAGAGGAGCACAGAGCGCTCCGTAGGAATTGCACAAAATAGTAGGCCACTGTTCCAGGGGCCACTCTCCCACCCAGAGCTGGGAAGGTGCTGGGGACAGGCTACCTGGCAACCTTTGGTGACCAACCCTGAGTTCACAGACCATCCAACCCAGAAGAACACTTTAATGTCAAATATGGAATTGGTGGTGGTACTACCATTCCCCGGGGCTCAAAACAGGACATGTTGCCATTTGTTGAACATTTTTGCAAGACCCTTGATTTCAAAATTTCCAACTTTTGGTTTTCTCTTTTCTTCCACTTCACTGCTGTGTGCAATAAAGAAATGAACAGTGAGCAGAGGTTTTGTCCTTGCTTTGCTCCTCTATACAATCAACTTTTCTAAACTTGAGACAGATTTGAAAAATCTCCCGAAGTAGCAGAATGAAAAATTGTTTAAAACAAAAAAAGGCCTATTTAGTGACAAAGGTGGAAAGGAGGGAGGAAAAAAGGTAGGAAACCATGAACATTTGAAATGAAAAATCAGCCAATATTAAAAAAGTAAAAAAAACCCAAGCTTTTTACAGGTTTTGCTTTTGGAAAGAAAAATCATTTTGCATTTAAAAATACTCCCGGATATAGGATTGTGGGTCACTCTGGGTGTGTCTACACGAGATGCTAACTGCGCAGTAGCCTAATAACACCGCGCAGTTGTGGGAAAAACCCATGCTAATACACGACTGCGCAGTAGTATTAGCTACTGTGCAGTTAGTGTCCAAAAAAACCTGTGCACTGGTGCCACTGAGCAGTAGCGCAAGTTACTGTGCATTGATTTAGTACTTGGTTATCCAAGTACTAAGCTTAATGCACAGTAATTGCAGTGTATTAATTAACATGTAGACTCACCCTCTAAGTGCAAAGGAAACTCAGACTGTCTTTTCTTCCTGGGATTTTATAAACCCAGCTGCCATACTGAGGCATCCAGCCTCAGGACTTCTCCAGGAGCCAGTGTGGTGAAGTTCTCCCATCAGTGTGAGTTCCTCTCAGCTCAGCACCTGCCTCTACAATGTGGGTATCAGTCATATTCAACAGTAAAGAGGGGCCTGAGGGGCCAACTGTGAGACAGACTGGGCTCTGATCTTTAAATGACAGATGCTTCAATGTCCCTTTAAAATGAGGAACATTAAAGCAGTGCAGGTGGAGCCACCTTGTGGTGGAGTTGGGCATCAGGAAGGCAACAAGTTCATTGTCTCTGTGGTTTCTTACTTCCGGCAGTGATGAACATGTGTCAGCCCTGCTGGATCTCCGAGGCGATGTCTCCAAAGAGGTCCGGAACATGGTGATGGAGATGATGGCACAAAATCCGCAAGCCCTGCCTGAAAACTACCAGCCAATCTTCAGTAACATCCTGGTCCCAGGTCCAGAGCTGCCTTTCTGCCTTCGCAAGGGCAAGTGTGCCTGATACCTGGTCATGCAATTAGGTTTTCTCAAGCTTTCTACCTGCCCTGGGACCTCTGTGAATAAGGGACTGACTGTGAGCAGACCCCGAGGCCCACTGTGGGGTTAATCAAAGACCGCTGGGTCTGTGTACTGGTGCAGTGCATGGTGTGGAAGGCACCACCTGACCTCTTGAGGCAGTGGGTGCAGCATAAGGCTGGGAAAGCTGGATATTAGCCCTGCTGGGCAGGGAGGATGGGGAAGAGACTGTCCCCTTGATGCTAGGCCCCAGAGAGCCTTTAGTTGACTGTGGCCCCAGGCATATGATCCTGGGCAGGGCTGGGGAGGGGACAGTGTCTAGGCCTATTGCTGAGCTGTTCACTACCTGATTCACCTCTGTCCCCTTGAGCAATGGGTCTGGGCTTCCCCTTCATGTTGCTGCTCATGTTATGCTCCATAGTTTACAGGAAGAGAAGGGGGAGCCAAGGGGACAGCATGGTCAATGGCAGGTGAGCCTAGAAGCACCCAAACAACCAAGATTGCTCCAGGATTCTTCCCCACGTTCCTGCCACAAGTCACTCTGTCCACTGCACCTGTGAGTGTCCAAGTCTTTTGTTCTGTCTTTTTTTTCTTTTCCTGTCACTAAGCTAAGCTATAGGCCTAATAAACTTAGGGCTGCAACAGGATTATAACATGTGCACTTCCTTTCTGCTATGTCATGTTAAACCTGCCAGCCAGCTAAAGCCCATCAGGCCAGGCCACATACTCCTCTTCCACCATTTACAGATGCAGACACCAACAGGTGTCTGTGGGGTTCAAGAGACCAGTTAGAGGGTAGTTATGGAGAAAGCTTCCCCAGGGGCTGTTTCTTCACCTCTGTCTGCTGAGTTCCAGTTCTTATGCAGAGCCTTTGCCATAGTCTCTGAGTACCTGTGAACTGTACCAGGCCCTGCAAGCAAAGACAGGGACTGAAACAGCCCCTCATACTGAGACTAAGCTGGCTGAAGCCCTACACTTCAGTGGGGCTGCTACGGAGGTCCAACCCCTCTCAAGTGTAACAGGTTGTTCTCACCATTCACGTGGAGGCATGAGTCCTACTGAACTTTTGGCCTCAAAGGGCGCGTTTACACATGCATTAAGATTCTTTTTCTAATGCACATTAAATTCAGTACCTCCAATATGAGGTACTAAATAATGCGCATTAGGCTGCATTAATGCACAGTAATGAATGCACATGATTTTTAAGTGACATTTAATGCACAGTAGCCTATTTTACTGTGCATTAGTGTAATTCCACATTTTTTTTATGTGATGCTTTGAGCAGTAAAGTAGCCTACTGCACATTAACGTACACATGCATACATACCCAATGACTCCTAGTGTCAGTGACTTCCTCAGGCTCATTACAAATCGTGTACAGAGTAGGTGTCTGAGCTGTTGCTGTGGGACCTTTCAGCTTAACTGAATGTCCCATTCTTCCTATAGCCTTGGTAGTGGACAGGAGCAGCCTGCAGTCTGCCTTCTCTCAACCCTTTATTCTACATATGTCTTGTCTCCTCTCATCTGTGCTCTGAATCACACCTCCAACTCTGCATCATCTCCTTACGAGCAGGGAAAGTCTATGCTGCATCCAGTCTCCAGGCCAGGACGTACCATTGATCCACAGAATAGTCTTATAATACCAATTCCTCCATAGCTGCTCATTTTGCATTCTAGCATCTTATTAGCTGCGCAAGGAGCAGATGCTGGCTGAGTGGATATAGTGCTGTCCAGATCTCTTTCCTAAGTGGCTGCATTTAATGGAGATGCTGGCATGTGTAGTTTGCAGTACTTCTAATGCAATTTGAGTGTATTCATCCACACCAGAGTCCACTCACCTTCATGTTGCCCATTGTCCTGCCTGGAGAGGGCCCTTTACAAGTCTGCGTAGGTGTGGCTGACCTCTGCTTTTATCACTTTTAGATGTTGCCATTTTCTTATTACCCTTTCTCTAGGTCATTTATGACAGCATAGGCCCTAGCCAGAGACCTTTGTAGCCATGGTGACAAATTCTTATTCATTGCTATGTTGTTTCTTGACTCCTAGCTAGCTCTGCCTTGCACCCCATGGCTTCTCACCATTGCCTTAGTCAGTACCAGAGGCTTAGTGCCTCTGGTAACAGCCTTTGTCAAAGGATTTCTGAAAGTGCAAGTAGCTGCACTGTTTTTGATTTTCTCTGGGAAAGTTCATATATATCTACCCCATTGCTGTAGCCACTTCTGTTCGGATTGGCAACCTAGACCTGTGTTTTGTTGTTTGATTATGGTCTTTCTACACTTAATCAATAAACTAATTGAAATTGGTCAGTTTGGCCTCTCAAGTGCTTCTTAAAGATTATCTTTCATTAGAGATGATAAAAGTTAACACCCATGAACATCTGTCTATATTTGGCCAAGTTACAAGCCTCTGAAATAAATCTCAGGTTGCTCATGTCCTGTAGAGACAACTTAGCTTGGCAATGAAACCCTCTGCCCTCACTGAGTATTCTCTAGGTCAGTGGTCTCCAACCTTTTTAAGTAGGAGATCACCTTTGGCATTTAAAAGCAACCCAAGATCTACCATGCACTGCTGCCACCCTGCCTCCCCCACCCAGCAGGTAAGTTTGTGAGGAGAGAAGGGAAGGGAAGGGGGAGGGGGCAGATCGAGGCAAAGGGAGAAAAACATATTTGTGGGTGCACCTCCCCAGCAGGTAAGTTCCACCTGGCCAGGTCCCCACTCAACTTACTCATGCTCCTGCCTCTGCGGCACTGTCCCTCACCGCGGGGGCCTCGATCTAGCCCCTGCCCCTTCTCTCCCCCAAAGACTAACATGCTGGGCTGGGGCACGCACGTGCATGCATGTGGGCACTCAGCTCCCCACCCCAACTTTGGATTGACTCCAAGAACCTCCAAGATCTACCGGTGGATCAAGATCCACTGGTCGGTGACCACTGCTCTAGTTCCTCACAGCTCCTGGGGACTGACCAGGTGTATACATGTGCCATCCTCAGAGAGAGATGGGCCTGAGCTTGATACAGGCTTTAGGGCACTGGATATGATGCACCATATGTTTAATTTGAATAGACCAATAGACTATATCTAGTCAGACCCACACAAGTTAGGCTTTTCCATTTTATCATTTTAGTTTGAACAAAACGTTCTGGAAGCTCCACAAATCCTAGAGACATCTTTGCTACTCTGATAAAGAGAACATGCTTTCTGGGCATCACTGGGGCCTTCCACCTTGTCCTGACTTTCTGGCTAGCTTCTACACCCATGTGAGAGAGCACCTTTGGTGCCTGCCACTTGAAGTGCTGAGAGCAGCTGGCAGGTGCAGGCCTGATGAGGCAGTCACTGGACCACAGGAGAGCCCTGTGATTGGAGGAGAGGGCTGAGTGGCCTCCTTTTTAGCTCAGGCCCTCAGGGCTGAAGCAGCAGCAGTCTGCTGCTGGCAGCCGGAAAGACACTATCCAGCTGAGTGGCTGCACAGAAACACCTTGGAGGTAAGGGCGGGAGCTATGGGGGTAGTACGAGGCTCCTCGTCCTGGGTTATGACCGAAAACTACACCCTGCTGGGGTAGGATGGTGTGGGTGAGTCTGCCTGTGGCAGGGTGGTCCCCAGGAAAAGCCACACCAGTTGCCTCCCTAGTGAAAGGCAAGTAAAGGGTGCCTTATAGCCCCAGCCCCCACAACCTGGTGGGTTACCCAGTAGTAAGGACAGGCAGGGCCCCAAGTAGGCAGACCTGTGTGAAAGGGAGCGGGCAAGCAGCGTGAGAGCCTAGACAAAACCCTGGTCAGTGCTGGGACCAGGACCAGGATGGTCAAAAGGGCTAGAGTGCCCACTGTGAGGGATGCCCAGAACCAGGTGGCCCGGGGTTCCAACTGGCCCGGAGATGGCCAGGGCCTGTGTGGCCAAAGGTCCCAGAGGGGAGCCATGCCCAAGGGGGAAAGAGGTCTAGGGAGCTGACAGCCCTGCATGATTGCAGGTAATGAGTCTTCCTGATTAGGAGGGATCTAGTTGGGGTCCAAACACCAGACTTTGGGGCCCAGTGTAGGGCTGAAGCCACATAGTGGATACCATCTGTGAGGCATGGGACATGGTAAGGTTGGAGCCGTGTATAATGCCCTTGGCATTGGGGCACTAGATGGGCAGCCTCCTGCACATTACATCAATTTTATTAACCAGCAAGTTGTGACAGGCGAGGCAGGGCAGACTGCCCTAGACAGAGGGGCAGGCCGCTGTTAAGATCTGGTCCTGACATGGCCCTATGTCACAACCCAGCACCAAGGAGTATCAACCTAGTAGAAGTAAAAAGATTTGGAGGGTATCTTTCATGCTTATACAACTAGGGTTACCATATGTCTGGGTTTTCCCAGACATGTCCTCTTTTTTGGCTCCCTGTGCTGCGTCTGGGCGGGTTTTTTAAATGCAAGCCAAATGTCTGGGGTTTCCTCCCAGGTCCATTTTCAATATGGCCATCGCTAGGTAGAGCTACAGTTCCCAGAATACCTAGTGCGGTGCTGTGTGACTGGGAGCTGAATTTGCAATTTTGCTTTGCTCCACTGGTGGGAGTAGGGGGAGGGCAATCGGAGGCAGCAGGGAGCAGAGCACAGAGGGTCGGGAATGAGGGGCAGGGCTGAGGGGACAGGGGGCTGGGGCTGCAGCCAGAATGAGCAGAGGTGGGGGGTGTAGGAGCTGTGGGTCAGGAGTGAGGGGCACTGGCAAGGCTGGGGGAGGGGGAGGGGATGCGAGTCGGGAGTTAGGGACACCAGGGAAGAGGGGGCTGCAGGTCCAGAGTGTGGGGCACCATTAACATCAATACATGGGTGTCTCAAGTAATCAATCATCCCCAATGGCACCATTGGGCGTTTGTAGACGACACGCGGTTACCTGTTTTGGCTGCCGCAACTGCATTTGTGTTTGCATGATCAGGATTTCCCACTGCTTTAAAAGTCTTTTTGGCACTTTTACTAAACCTGCTCGGAGAGGTATTATTTCCCGGTGCCCTGGTTTAGCACCCCCGATCATGTAGTGCGCTCACTAAGCATCTCAAAGCATCTCAAAGACTTGTAATTGCTTTCCTTTGCCAACATGTGGTGCTGTGCTTTTTCTTTAGCCAGTAGGAGGTGCTCTGAATTTATTTTGTGTTATCCTTAACCCCCCCCTCCCACTGCTCGATTGACCAGGTGTGGGTTTGAGTGAGGCATGACTCACTCCTGTTGCAAAGGTCCAGGGGAGTGGGGAACCTGGTGCAATGTGCCTTGGGGCTGGAGACAACCTTCATCCAGGCGACTCCTGGCTCTTCTTTCTTTTGGTGAAGGGCATGGCAGTAGGAGTCGATCTCCTCTTCACCATCCCTGATGGCATGCAGCCTCTGCGCTGTAGCCTGGAGCTCTCCTATCTGGCACTCCAGGGTCTCCAATGTGGAGAAAACCTCACAAAGGGAGGTGTCGTTGCTCCTGATCTCAGGTGCCTGCAAGTGTAGCAGGCAGCCCCCACAGTCGAGAGCCAGGGGCTCCGTCTGAGTGTAGGCTGGAACCATGGGTTCTGTCTGGGTGGAGGCCACAGCAGCACCAGAGGGGGGGTGGTCCCAGACTTGGAGGGGATCCTCAGGATTCGGTGTGTCCCCACCACCATTGCACCAGTAGTATTCTGAGCTACTGCTGTGCAGACTCTTCTCTTCAGGTTTGCCGCCTAGGGCCTCATGTCCCTCCTGCTCACCCTTGTTCACGAACTCTTGTGTTAAGTCACTTGCCAGGCCTAGAGCATGCCTGTTTGTGCATTCTGTTCACAAGGATCTGGTTGTGTGGCTCCCTGTGGGGCTGGGCAAAGTAGGAGCTCGTGGGGAGCGTGACCCTCCTTGGCTCCTCTCAGCTGCTCCCATAGCTATCAGATACCCTCCCACCATGGGCCCTGCTTATCTCCCAGCTATGCTGGGGATCAGGTTGGGGGTCCACCACATTCGCTGGGGGTCCTGGGCTCGTGAGGGCGCAGTGGGCTTCCACCTGTGTGTCACACCAGAGCCAGACCCAAACTGGCCCTGCCACAGGCCCTGCTTACCTGGGCTATGCTGGGGGTCAGCCACATCTGCTGGGGGTCCTGGGCTTGCAGGGCATGACTGGCTTCCACCTGTGCATCTCACATCGGAGCTGCACCCAAACTGAAGATAGGCAGATGAGGGAGGGAGTGGGGCGGGGGCAGGCACTGCACAGCCAGCTCCTACTTGGC